AAAAAAAAAAAAGATTTTCTAACCGTGGTTTCATTTTCAAAAGTAAAATTTAGAGATTTATGGTCTAACGACGAAATCTTCGACTACGCTGCAAAGTTTTAAGCGTAAAGCAAAGAAGTATTCAGAACAAAGTTTTGCCATTTTTTAAAAGTGCTAAAATTAAGTTCTCTTTAAGATGTACTTCTTGTAATAGGTGCATGAACACAAGTGCTTTCCAGTTTTGGCACTTTAAAAAAAGGAAATTTTTTTTTTCTTTCAAGCTCTTCACACATTTTTTTACCAACTATATCACTGCAGATCTGTCGTTGTTAGTAACCGTCTGAAATTTTCCTCGACGTCTTACAAATAATACAAAACTGATTTATTTAAAAAATTGAAAAATTTCTTTAAAAAGTGTTTTCCCTGGTTAACGTGAAACAACAAAAATTTTCCAAACCTTTCTGTAATCAAACTCATGTTGAAAGTCAGTTTTCAAATGTCTTAAATGCAGTTTAGATATAATTTATACAAATGCTTGCGTTTTTTAAAACTCAAATAACATTTCTTCTCAAGGCGAATGAAGTTAGAAGAATAAAAAAGTAAACCTTAATAACTGCAACAAATTACTTTTTACTTGTATGTTTGTTTTGTTATATTTCAGAATTATTTTATAAAATTTAGTGTACTATAAGAAAAAAACGATTTTGTACAGAAACTTTGAGCTTAGAGACAAAATGAGGTACAGTTGAACCTTTTTTCTTCTAGAGTGGAAACCACTAAAGTTCAACCTAATTATTTTGAGTTTGAAATAGCCACAAATAAGGTTTTTCCTCTTTGAAGACATTGTTTTGCAAAATCTACTATTATATTATTCTTTAGAAAACATCTGAAACATTATAAATATCTTAGGAATACTAAATTTACCTAAAATATCTCTGGTATAAACCATCTGGCAACAAAAATTCAAAGCAACATTTACATGAGTCACTTGATCGAAAGTCTTAAGCTGATTAAGCAGATTGCTGCAAATTTCTTATCTCTAACGTGCTCAAAAATTTCATATTTTTTGCGGCATAAGCTGCGATAAGAATCTAGCATTAATTTTGAAAAAAAATTCTTTTACGGTGATGGTTAAAGTCAGCAGAGTCAATTTGATTACGTGACAGAGTATATAGCTCTGATAACAGATGTGGCTTAAATCTTCAGCTGCAGAAAAAAGTGACACTTAAATACATAAAAAATGCTTTTTTCTCATGTTAGTCATTTTCTTTATTACTATACGGCTAATGCTGTCGCTAAAAAACCTTTTAACAGTTTTTTTAAGTGTGATTTTTTGAATATTTTTTCTAAAAATATGTATTATAAGTTGACAAGCTGAAAACTATTCTTCAGATTACTCTTACCTATTTGATAAGCCTCAAGTATTTCTTAAAATAATCTGAAGAACAAAAAAAAAGTACTTTTCTGGTGTATTATTGTTATAAAGTCAGAAAAAAATTGTTTTTACTGCTGACGCTTATTAGCTTATTATTTTTGAAGCTAATTTCTTTATTTGCAGATGGGTGAAAGAAATTCAAAATGTCTGCCAAAAGAACAATTGATTTGAGAAGATCTTTGCAGTGATCTGTAGTAGACTTTTTACACGAGCTTACAGGAAACTTTAGATTGTCAATAGGTAAGTCGTCTGAGCAAATCCGCTTAAAATTTGCAAACATTTCATCGTTGAAAAGCAGTGGCTTATCCGCTTTTATTCAATTGGGTTTTATTCGCAATTTATTTGTCGATGTTTTTGTTTTTTTTGAAAAAAATTTTTAAACCTGAACGAAGTATTGAGTATTATTTTGCTTGCTTACGGACTTAAGACGAATTTCTCATCGTTTCAAGAAAGCTGTTTAAAATGTGGTGCAGCACTGTATCAAACAGAACAGAGCATATTGTAAAAAAGAAAATCTAGAGAAATTAGAATAAAACGATAATTATTTTGTACTACTGCAGCCAAAATTCTGTAGCGTAAGAAATCTGTAGCAAAAAACGCCAATTAATTAAGTGTGCTTGTAGAAGTTCAAGTTTCACTCTTTCTTGAAGTTATACCATAGAGAAGTTTTGCAAATAGGAGCTCTCATACTTAAAGAAGAAGAATGAGAACAGTTGTTGAAGAACAGGTCAGAAAATATTACTTTTCTGCTTTTATTTGCATAACTCTTCGTTAACTATCATTTTCGAAAATTTCTCATTTATTTCCGACTGTAGGAATGTCATTAGAATTTGCGATGATTGCGAAATCAAATACATTTAATGAGTACGTAAGCGCTTTAAGTGCATTTCTGATTTATTTATCACTGTTGATGAAGTTCCAACATATAAAAGCTTCAAATACCCAGAATTATCAAAGAAGTTTCCTCAAAAATATTCTTCAAGCTTTCTTTGTAAATTGTTTCTTGTCTTTTAGGAATTTTAGGAAGAAGTACTTATCAGGAAGTTTTTTAATATTTCAGGTTTACTGTATTGAGCTGCACTCAATAAAAAAGTTTTTCGTATTACCACGAGAATTTTTTCTTATCAAATTTTGTACAGGATGGAGACACGTGTCTTACATTTGAATAAAAAAAATTTCTACTTAGAGAGTCATAACTGAGAAGATTTAGAAGAATATTCGACTTAAAAAAGAGCGTTGTACACGTAGAAGTCGTTTTTGTATTCGCAAACTATTCATGTTAACGATACTGATAAGGTAACGCCAATAAAAACTCCAAATTTTTTGCTGTTTATATTCTAATAAGCCTTCATAGTGATTCTGCTTCGGAATCCTACAATTATGCAGAGTTTTCTCAACTTGTGCATTTTTGGTAAGCATGTTTCAATGTTAAAAAAACTTTTAAAGTTCTTATTATAAGAATCTATAAATAAACAGATAAACTGGAAAATAAACAAATATATAATTATATGTATTTTGTAATACACACTTATTCACGTACGTATCCCCTTATACTACAATCCCTGCCAAGCGGCACTGTTTTGTCAGCCAAATTCTGAGATTCTTTTCATTTTTTACTTGATCGTAGAAATTGATACTTGACTGAGAAATCAAAAAAGTTAACCTAAAAAACTGTGCTAGTGACAAAGGTAAACCGTTCTAAAGTGTGAGAAGAAATGCGTGCTTTTTTCAAAAAAAGTCACTTTCAAAAACTTGTAGTTTTTTTTTACTTGAATACTAACTGCAATTCAATTTACAATGTCTCATACAGCTTTGTTTTCTTATCCTTACTGTTTTTACTCTGCTTCACGCCCTATCTTCTATAAATTCACAAAACCGGTGAAATATGTGTACCAAACTTTTTACGAAATTAGAATTAAGCACAAGAATTAAAAACGTTATTCTCATAAAAAACTTCTTAAATCTCTTAAGAAAGGAAAGCTTTTGCAATTTTTGTGATTCTTACTTTAAATATTGAAATTAAGCAGTAGTATTCTTTCGGCGTCACAAACAAGTCACCATGCGGTTAGTAAGAGCAGACCGTAGAATATTGCAAACTCAAGCAGGATTTTGATGCTTTTCTGAGTTACAGAGCTCCGGTTTCAACTAAAATGTTATTAAGTATAATAATATATGCAATTATCAAAACATTTTTTTATTTTTACGACTTCAGTAACAGGTAAATAGATAGAAATCTTATGCTTTTAGATAATTTTAAAATGATTTTTTGGAGAAGATTTACTATCATGATTACTCTTTCAATTTTTATCGTCTTGCTTCCTTGACGACTCAAATACTTTCTACTCCTTTCTACTCAGTACTGCTTGTTGGCTGCGAATATTGTTTTGCTGTTAATGTTTTGAGCATTTTTTAGTATAGTGCAGTATAATTTGTTGCACCTTTGGTTGGTGAATCTACCCAAAAGGCGATGCTAAAAAGGCTCTTCATTTCTCACATCAACGTGAAATTTCTAAATTTACTAATATTTTCTTTCGGTGGTTAAGAGCTTATTTGTACAAATCACTGCAGTTAAGATTTGATCAAAAAATGTCTCTTTCAAATGGGCTATCGCTCTTAGTTTTTTCAATGCGCCTCATATATTGTCACAGAAACTACTTTTACGTTCTGTTGGAAAGAATCGTCATTCTGCTGTGACTTTGAAGCCTGTAAGATAGACAATAAAATTTGAAAAGTTTGCTCGATTAACCAAAGTACGACGTCCTTCTAAAACTATATAGTGTTCTTTAAACTGCATCTTCTCCCTGGAATGTTTATAAAGTATGATAACATATAAGAATTAAAATTTTCCTCCTTTTGAAATTAAAATTGTTTCTTTTTTCTGGAAGGAATTTTTTCAATTATGCTCTTATTTCAATTTCGTAAAAAGTTTGTTGGTATACACGTTCCCCATTTTTCAGGATCTGCAAAAGACTTCCTTTCAGATTAAATAAGAAATTTGAAAATCCATCGCGATTGAAAAATATATAAAGATTTATAAATGATTATGTTAACAAAAATCGTCTTCTTTTGGCAGTTTAGAACAAAGTAACTTTGTTACCAGCACAGTTTTTAAGGT